TCTCTTCTAAGGTAGAAAGTGTCAGAAAAACGTGAGAGTCGTCCTTGAGGGTAAAGTGTCTAACCTAATTTTCTCACCGATTGCAAGTGCCATTTCATCCACGCAAAACCTCACCTAGTTAACAGGTGAGCAAATGTAGTGGGGAAACGTTGCAAGAGAACTGAGTAAGATGTTAGGGTAAGTTTTGGAAATTTTCCGCACACCTGGAAAGTCCTGGCTACGCTCGTGATAGAGACTTTTGCTGGAGAGAAATTGAAACATGTTCGCTAATATAGTGACGACCAGAAAGGACAAGCCATAGGATAGTTCCAGAAAACCACCCATTAAAATAGATCACGAAGTTGTCGCGGCGGAGGATGAACTTGAAGGCATCTGATGAAGTGCAATTTTTCAAGGGAGCCCAGATAAGATTATGTACGATGGGCACAGCTTGTTTGATCTGGAAAATTTGGAGAAGCTCAAGGCAAATCGCTAGACAACACATGCTAGAGCTGAACTAAAAATCTTTTGCGCCTCTGAACTCTGTCCCTAAGGGTAAAGGAGAAAGTTTCCCTTTATCAATGCATTAACCGAGTTGATTATGAATGTCTCCTTATGTTGGACGTCTTACTAACAAGAACATTACCACTACTTGCCCTCAGAGGCGTTTTTCAGTTGACGAGCGGAGAAAATTAGGTTTTGACTGTTTGAAATTCTGGATGCCAGAGTGAAGACGCCTTTTGTATGATGACGTCATCGTCCTACAGTAAAAAGCGTTCGTTTTTTACCACTGATATTACGTCAATCGGTATACTTATGTTGTCGAAAGGTCCGTGAGCATGGTAAATAATTTTACCTTAAACTGCAGACACATCTTCAATCACTCCTTATTGTTCGGGATATCGGATAAACACTCTGGTCTCTAACTGAATTTTCTTTGCTGTTTACTTTATTTTGAATTAGGACTGTCTTGAGTTGTCGATGCATTGTCTAGCGATTTTAAGCTTTTTCAAGGAAACAAAAATCTGGAATTGTCCCTAGGGTGAGGCATTTGCGCACAGTTTTAAAGCCCTTCGGTGGGGTGACTGTGGTTTTTGTTGTCCCGGGCTCATCCCTCATTCTTCTTAACCCCTTCCAAACCAATTTTTCTGTTTATCAAGAATCTCCTCAAAACGGGCTTCGTGATTGAGACAAAATACCCGAAAATTGTACACGGAACCGTTGTTAACGGTGCACAAGGTAGAATGAGTCTATTCATTACTTTGCCAACGCCCAATTTTTAAAACCGGAAGTAATGATGTTTATTTCAAGGGCTCATGTCTCATGAGTTTTGAGTGAATCTTCAAACGCTGTAAATACATGTAGCTGGAACTATCATCGCATCGATCCTCGCTCACTGATAATGATAACTTATATCAACTTCCATTATTTATTGCCTGGCTAAGATTTTCACGGATTCTTCAGTTCAGTTGTTTGAAACCAGGCGGCTTCACGTGAGTTGTAACGCCAGGCAAGGAACGTGACGACCCGCGATATGCGTGGGAAAATATTACTTTTTTTCGATCAAGGTGGAAACTGGCAACTTTGTCGTCGAGTAAGGTAATACATCTCAATTTTCATTACTATGGTTAATTTTAAAAGCTCTGGTTTCGGTAAAGGAACTGGAGGAAAATCAGGAAAATTCCTGTTCGACTGTGATGGTTGGATTTTGTTCACGCGTCATAGCATAAACATAACAAATTCATTTTCCTTTTCCTTATACAATCTGCCTTTTTTTATACTATTTTTCGCAGCAGAGTTATCGATTATATTACAGAGGCTAATTTTATTACACAGATCACTCAGATTTAATGACAGAAATCCTATTATCGATTGTAATTTTGGCAACACCTGGCGAGTATTCGGTGTACAGATTATTGACAAAGTCGCTCGAACAGTCTTCCATTCATTACTTTTGTTTCTGCTCCGTTAAATTTGCCCAATTTTTTTATTAATGAACTCGATTTAAATACAAACAGTGAGTATTCAGGCAGATTGGCAAGCTTCAATGCGATGTGGCAAAAGAGATATACGCCTTTAAAATTCTGTTAATTTTGCGGGTGTAAAAAATTCAAAAAGTATACCCACCAAAAGTTTAATCGATCGTTGCGAAAACGTTATCAATTTCGAAGTAGTTTCTAAAAATACAATAAAGAGGGATTGCTCTTTCAATCTGTATTGGCAAAGGAAGATTAGCTTTGAAGACAGGGTTGTAGTCGAAGGCTCAAAAGCAGCTTCTATTAACCAATATGGCGCCGGTCCGAGGCACCCAAAGACCGGCCATGTCGATAATTTCCGAAGTAGGAGGAATTAGAACCTAAAGTTACCTGTTCCTTATTAAAGACCTCAAATCAAGTCTACATGCCAATTTTTAGCCAATTCGGTGAGATAGTGTGGCAGCGCCTTTTTAATATAGCTCGAATCTTACAGACAACTGCTCTTAATCATCCGGACCCAAAGCCCTCTTAGGTGAGTGCGATACCGTAAAATTCCGAAATTAAGCCCCGGGGCTTATATTTTGCAAAGGCCCTTTTTGAGGGGCTTATTTTTGGAGGGGCTTATATTCGGAGGAGCTTATCTACGGAGGGAAATTTGCGTCTCAAAATCGATTGGGCTAGCCTTATATCTGGGTTGGACGTAAATTTACCGTTTTTTCTTTGTTCTACTTGTATTTGAGGGCAATTTTCCAATTTCAAGCCGCCAAGGGGGCTTATATTTGGAGGGGCGATTTACCGGAGGGTTTTTTACGTTACCGGCTTGAGGGGCTTATATTTGGAGGGGTTTATACATGGAGGGGCTTATTTTCGGAATTTTACGGTACTTTCGAGCCAGCCTCACTCAGGCTCGACCGTGGGGGAACTGGTTACAAGTTAAAAATGAGTCTTTTCTCATGTTCAGCCGCAAACACTCCGCACAGATTCTTTTTATTGGATAAAAATTTTTACAGACAGGATTCCAATAAATTCTACAAATTACTTGAAACGAGTTTTAATGTAGCACGAAAAAAAAATGATTCATATCCGTTTTTTCGTCCAGTTTCTTTCTCTGAAGGTAATGAAACCTATCAAGATTTTCTTGTGAGGTATTACCCCTACACTACTCAGCAGTAATCCATTGGTGACAGTATACGGCAATTATAGAGGGCTAAGTGGGCCTCATTTGTCAATTGCGCCGAGTACATCGCAGGATACACAGTGCATAAACCAGTGCAGCGTGTCGCCAGTATGAACTCCCTATAATTTTTTCCGATGATACTTTCCATTTTGATTTGAGATTCATTGACTATTTTCCAATTGCCCATAATACACTCTGTTTGCCCCCCAAATTTTGCATAACTTATTCTCTTAAAATGCTCTTGGGAAAATGCAATACTCCCAGGAGCATTTAAAAACAATGGTTTATGCAGAATTTGGGGGGCAAACAGAGTGTATTATGGGTAATTGGAAAATAGAGAATTGATGGTAATACAGTAAGTGAGATTATATGAAAGCTTTGACATTTTCCATGAAGACGCCACGACCCAGTCACTTTTTTTTCTTTCATTGAAAAACATTTTATCTTCAACGTTCTTAAGAACGAACTGCAGGAAGTAACGCCAGGAAGCCCGGTCAAGACACAGCCCAGTCTCTTCACCAGACCTTCAGGTAAAACTCTTAGCAAAATCATGGCATATGATTCGCATGTTGACGAACTATGCAAAAAATTATCCGCATGTTTAGGTCTTATTATTAGGCCTTTTAGTCCCTACCTAAAAACCCAGAGCCATTTGTCCATATGACTTCATAAATATTTAATTTTGTAAGCAATATTTGGGAATATGTTTATACTTGATACAACACAACGGTCATCGCGACCGACAGGTGCGCTTATAATTTCTCGATAAAGCGGATCGACTTGACACTATTTTCCTTCTGATTTACTAATACCTGACTGAAAAGGAATTTTTCTAACACCCAAGCTCAAAACGTAACACCTTTGAGCAATAGTCCAGTTTCGAGTTGGGTAGTACTTTAAGTAGGGTTATTAAAGTGTATTCGAGTTTGCTATGACCGGTGAATTAAAGAAGTGAAGACGCATTGTTTACAGCCTTAGCCTCCATCTGAAGTAATATCTTCACAAATTTCAACGAGAAAAAGACCTGTTTATTACTCCGTCTATTGTGTATATTCAAATTTCAAACACTTACTTGACCGGAATTTCTGAATATTTTACTTTATTATATATGTACTGAGATTTACCCATTGAAAAGGCGCGAAATAAATTTGGTTCACAAGCTGGTCTAAGAACCCGACAGCCAATCAAATGGCGCGTATTGCTTTTTCCACGTGTGAGGAAAACGATACGTCCAATCAGGTGCTGCGTATCATGTTTTTTTACGTGTGAGCCGTAACAAGGTGATTTTCATTCAGCTGGCAGCATTTCACTTTGTTAAAGAAATCTTTCGCAAGTGTTGAAGCTTAAAAACATGAACGAGAAAAGGTTTGTTGATCACGATACTTCAGTCGAGGATTACGTAGAAAGTCTCGAAAACAGGAATACGAAAGAGAAAACGAAACGAGATGTGAAATTGCTGGAAACGTTTTTGAGAAACGAAAAGAACGACGAGCGAGAAGTGCAAGACATAGAGCCCGTAGAATTAAACAAGCACCTTGCGGAGTTTATTCGGTCTGTGAGACGTAAAGACGGAAAGGATTATGAGCCTTCAAGTTTAAGATGCCTTGTTTCAAGTATTGAAAGACATTTGAAGAAAAATAATTATACTAAGAGTATCATTAACGATAAAGAATTTGTATTGTTTAGAAAGTGTTTACAGGCTAAACAAAAAGGAGCTGAAGAAAGCAGGCCGAGGCAACAAGGACAAAGCCGCTGTGGCTATCACGGACGAAGAAGTCGATATACTTCACGAAAACAATTTGCTTGGAGTTTCTTCTGCTGAATCATTGTTGAATACTGTTTGGCTGAACAACACCATTCATTTTGGAATGCGTGGTTGTCAAGAGCATAGGGATTTGTGCTGGGGAGATGTAAAGCTTTGTAAGGACGCACAAGGTAACGACTATCTAGTTTACAATGAAAGACAGACAAAAACAAGGTCTGGAGTAGACGCCTCAAACGTTCGAAAAGTTTCCCCGAAAATGTTTTCAACTGGTGATGAACGAGATCCTGTCGTGGCGTACAAAATTTACCGTGAAAAGCGACCGGAAAACATGATGGCTGACGATTCGCCATTCTACTTGGGAATAAACCACACGAAAACAGACGGCTCCAAAAAGCACTGGTTCAAGTCGGCACCTATGGGTGTAAATAAATTAAACACTTTGATGAAAACAATGGCTTCAAAAGCAAACATCAACAACGAGCGACTCACGAACCATAGTGCTCGTAAACACATGATTCAAAAACTTAATGACAGTGAAATTCCGCCAACGCATATAATGCAGTTAAGTGGGCACAAGAACGTGCAAAGCATAACAAACTATAGTAGCTTGAACCTAAATCAACAAAAAAACATATCAGGCATCTTAAGCCGAGCATCGTTTTGTTTGTTTTTATAGTTCAATAAAGACAATATAGTTCAGTAAGGACAACTCAGTTCATAAATTACACTTAAGTTCACCAACTATTGCACGAGTTCAGAAAATGTCACAACTATAAATATATCTTTATTTGTGTCGCAGATGCATAAAGGCAGGAGAAGGGGATTTGAATGGATATGCGCTTACTAATGATAATGATAATATTTAACTTAAATTATTTATTAATTTTTATTATTATTGTTTTTTTTTTTTTTTTTTTTTTTTTTTTTTTTTTTTTTTTTTTTTTTTGAGGGGTTCTCTCAGGAGCTCATGTGTAACCTTATAACATAAATAATAACAAGAACAACAGCTAAGCGACAAAGTACAGTTCAGTTCAGTTCACCAAGTTGCGAGGGGCTTGTTTATAACACTTCAACATCAGTTTTCTTTTTTGTTAGTTCAATAACGACACAGCAGTTCAATAAGTAGACAACAGATCAATAACCACACCAGTGGTTCAATGACTACACATCAGTTCATTGAGCGTAAACTACATGCAGCTGCGGGAAGAATAGCCACAAATACGTTAGTTATTTTAAGAATGCAGAGCATTAAGTAAGTGGTAAATACTCATTTAGCTATGGTACGAGAACTAAATAGATAAATAGCTATGTTACACTGTTATTAAGTACTAGTGAGCTCACTAATATAGACGGGAACATAGACTGATGTTATTTAAAATTTTAGTCCCCTCAGAAGGTCTGTCATTCTCATCAGGGGCACAGTGAACAGACCTGGAAAGAGAGTCAGCGCCGAAAGGGTAAAGCCAAATCGGCCCGGAGAAAACTTCAACTAAATAACCCGACAACGCGTGCGTTAATAAAGCAGAAAAAAATAGAGTTAACCGTGGATGAAATCAATCTTGTTTTTTGACTCTCTTTCCGCACGTTTCAAACCGTGGTACCACAGCTGGCCCTACGTGCTTGAGTTGACTACCATCAATCTATGTTTAAAATAGTTATTTTTACCGTACAAGTCCTGAACTTTCAACTCTCTTGGTTGTTTCAAACTTGAAAGGCAGCTGCTCGCTTCCTGACCATATTTCAAAAATCTGCTTTCGATATGATAATGTCTGTGCAAATATGAGAGATCATAACAATTGCAGGCGATGCCTCACCAAGGTACCAACAATTTTCTTTCCTAAACGAATTAGAAATAAAGTTTCAAATGCGTCTAACTCACCGCAGCTTGAATAAAAACAACTGGTAGGATGACTGCACTTTGTTTTCTTCACTCGATGGCTTACGTCATTTCATATCACGCGCAATCTCTTCAAAAGTTAACCGGCAACCGCCGTGAACTTTCGCGCGCAACTTGGAGGAGTTACGTCACAGTAATCCTAGTGTCCAAGTGAGGCCTTTTTCTCACTAGTTCGGTTTTCTTATTCCAAAGAAGATATAGAATTAAATTACATAAAGTTTATGTCTGTAAAAATGTACAGCATTTTTTAGTTAACCATTTCCATTATGGGCTAAGCCAAAAAATACATAAATAAATAAATGTGATGAAGGTGACATACAAACACACAAACAATTATTTAAATAACAATAATAATGAGTTATGACGGGGTTTTACAACCATGATACCCCGCCCATAAACATCCCTATCTGATTTTACAAGCAACCAAAAGGATGCCTGTCGCACGAGTGCAATGACCCTCTACAGCCGTGAACAAGCTGACAGATCTGGCGCACAGCGGGCAGTTTAAGGGAAAGACATGGTTGCCATATACCAGAATAGCCCAGTATATGGATTCAATAGCTCAGTTTTCTTTTTTGTTAGTTCAATAACGACACAGCAGTTCAATAAGTAGACAACAGATCAATAACCACACCAGTGGTTCAATGACTACACATCAGTTCATTGAGCGTAAACTACATGCAGCTGCGGGAAGAATAGCCACAAATACGTTAGTTATTTTTTAATAAGAATGCATAGCATTAAGTAAGTGGTAAATACTCATTTAGTTATGGTACGAGAACTAAATAGATAAATAGCTATGTTACACTGTTATTAAGTACTAGTGAGCTCACTAATATAGACGGGAACATAGACTGATGTTAATTGAAATTTTAGTCCCCTCAGAAGGTCTGTCATTCTCATCAGGGGCACAGTGAACAGACCTGGAAAGAGAGTCAGCGCCGAAAGGGTAAAGCCAAATCGGTCCGGAGAAAACTTCAACTAAATAACCCGACAACGCGTGCGTTAATAAAGCAGAAAAAAATAGAGTTAACCGTGGATGAAATCAATCTTGTTTTTTGACTCTCTTTCCGCACGTTTCAAACCATGGTACCACAGCTGGCCCTACGTGCTTGAGTTGACTACCATCAATCTATGTTTAAAATAGTTATTGTTTGTTTTTATAGTTCAATAAAGACAATATAGTTCAGTAAGGACAACTCAGTTCATAAATTACACTTAAGTTCACCAACTATTGCACGAGTTCAGAAAATGTCACAACTATAAATATATCTTTATTTGTGTCGCAGATGCATAAAGGCAGGAGAAGGGGATTTGAATGGATATGCGCTTACTAATGATAATGATAATATTTAACTTAAATTATTTATTAATTTTTATTATTATTGTTAATTTTTTTTTTTTTTTTTTTTCGAGTGAAGAAAACAAAGTGCAGTCATCCTACCAGTTGTTTTTATTCAAGCTGCGGTGAGTTAGACGCATTTGAAACTTTATTTCTAATTCGTTTAGGAAAGAAAATTGTTGGTACCTTGGTGAGGTATCGCCTGCAATTGTTATGATCTCTCATATTTGCACAGACATTATCATATCGAAAGCAGATTTTTGAAATATGGTCAGGAAGCGAGCAGCTGCCTTTCAAGTTTGAAACAACCAAGAAAGTTGAAAGTTCAGGACTTGTACGGTAAAAATAACTATTTTAAACATAGATTGATGGTAGTCAACTCAAGCACGTAGGGCCAGCTGTGGTACCACGGTTTGAACACCGACGTGCGGAAAGAGAGTCAAAAAACAAGATTGATTTCATCCACGGTTAACTCTATTTTTTTCTGCTTTATTAACGCGCGCGTTGTCGGGTTATTTAGTTGAAGTTTTCTCCGGACCGATTTGGCTTTACCCTTTCGGCGCTGACTCTCTTTCCAGGTCTGTTCACTGTGCCCCTGATGAGAATGACAGACCTTCTGAGGGGACTAAAATTTTAAATAACATCAGTCTATGTTCCCGTCTATATTAGTGAGCTCACTCGTGCTTAATAACAGTGTAACATAGCTATTTATCTATTTAGTTCTCGTACCATAGCTAAATGAGTATTTACCACTTACTTAATGCTATGCATTCTTATTAAAAAATAAGTAACGTATTTGTGGCTATTCTTCCCGCAGCTGCATGTAGTTTACGCTCAATGGACTGATGTGTAGTCATTGAACCACTGGTGTGGTTATTGATCTGTTGTCTACTTATTGAACTGCTGTGTCGTTATTGAACTAACAAAAAAGAAAACTAAAATCAAAAAATGTTATTAAAAGTTCTTATTACCCAGTTCCCTTAAATCCCCTTAATTTAAAAGTTAACAAATAATGCCACCCTGTCCACCACCCCCCAGAAAATAAACTCCTTGTAACCGAGCAGTCTGAGATCAGAAAATATAATAAACGCCCCAAAAAACCAAACCAAGCCGTGTAAGCAATCTAAAATTGGTTTCTATTCATGCAAAAACAATAACAAGGGTGCGTAATGTATACTGCAATGAACCACCGTACAGTCTTGCGGCAACAGAGGTTTTTGCTGAGCTGCACCTGTTATTGGCTACCTCGTGCCTACTGGACAGATACCACAAAACTACGCAAGCAGGATGACGGAGCACTGTAAACAAGCCCCCCGTAAAATGATGCACTGAACTGTACATTAAAATCACGAAAGCAGGATGTTGAAGTGTTATAAACAAGCCCCTCGCAACTTGGTGAACTGAACTGAACTGTACTTTGTCGCTTAGCTGTTGTTCTTGTTATTATTTATGTTATAAGGTTACACATGAGCTCCTGAGAGAACCCCTCAAAAAAAAAAAAAAAAAAAAAAAAAAAAAAAAACAATAATAATAAAAATTAATAAATAATTTAAGTTAAATATTATCATTATCATTAGTAAGCGCATATCCATTCAAATCCCCTTCTCCTGCCTTTATGCATCTGTGACACAAATAAAGATGTATTTATAGTTGTGACATTTTCTGAACTCGTGCAATAGTTGGTGAACTTAAGTGTAATTTATGAACTGAGTTGTCCTTACTGAACTATATTGTCTTTATTGAACTATAAAAACAAACAAAACTGAGCAATTGAATCCATATACTGGGCTATTCTGGTATATGGCAACCATGTCTTTCCCTTAAACTGCCCGCTGTGCGCCAGACCTGTCAGCTTTACTGCTGTAGAGGGTCATTGCACTCGGCGACAGGCATCCTTTTGGTTGCTTGTAAAATCAGATAGGGATGTTTGTGGGCGGGGTACCATGGTTGTTAAACCCCGTCACAACTCCATTATCACTTTACGGTTAACAATCACACTCGCGGCACCATATTTCATCAAGCCGCCTTTTATTTAAAAATTTATACTTCATTGTAATTATACATAGACGTTTGATAACAATACAGGGTATGATAACCAGATATGCGGCATTGTCAATTAACTGTAATATTGTATCATTTTCTCTTGTAACTTTTTCCTAGTACAGAAAATATTCCTTAATTTAGAATCGACTCCCTTAGAAATGAAAAAAGAGACTGGTAAGGGTAAACCCCCCTTCGCCTTCATTAATATTCTCTCTACAGACGTAGACACAGAATCAACCTTATCATACATCAATGGGTAGGCAAATAAACCACCTAAAGACCTCTTGGTCCTTTTAAACTTCATACGATATAATCCCTCCTTAAAACTAATCACATTCCTGTGAATAAACCCTTTGGTGTAACCAGACTTCAACAAACGCAGGGTAAACAATTTCAAGGATAACTTATAATCATCCTCACAAAGGGAATTCCTAATATAACGCATGCACTCAGTCCTCACTAAGCCCCTAAAGACATGTTTTGGATGGTTAGATTTAGGGTTTAAATAAGCAAACTTATGAAATTTCTTAAAAAATGTCCAATAATGTATAACCCCTGTAGATAAGGTTAAATCATCCAAAGCTAACACTAAATCTAAGTACTGACAAGTCACATAGTTTTTAACAATGTTTACTACCAGGTTACTAGGGTAAAAGAGCATTATTTTCTGTAACTCGGACAGTATACTTTTACTGTCCCTTACAGAAAACAAAATAATACCATCATCAACATACCTTTTCAAAAAGATTACTTTTTTAGCATCACGCACTAAAAAATACTTATACTCAGAGTATAACAAAACTAAATCGCTAATTTCCTTACTAAAATAACAACCCATGCTAACCCCCTTGACCTGTTTAAATAAACTATTACCCACATTAAAATAATTCCAATTATTGCAAAATGAATACAAGTCTAAAAGAAAATCCACTTCTGCCTTCCCCATTCCAAGTATTATTGCCAATTCCCTTAGTGTATTGCTAGCGTCCTTAAAGAGAATATTTGTGTACAAATCCTTAAAATCATAAGTTACAAAGGTACATCCACCCACTGAACTCAGATTAGTTTTCCCTATTAAACCAACCAATTCATAACTATTCCCTAAAATGGAATAGGGTAATGAGCTACTTTCTAAATAATCCTTAAACCTAACCAAAATTGACCTAAATCTCTTCTGTAAATATTTAGATGCCTCTACAGTACACCACCCATACCCAGTTACTATGGGCCTACCTGTTAATAGACTTTCATTCTCCATACTAGCTTTTTCTTTTAGTTTGTGTACTTTTGGAAATAAATTCAGGCTAGGGAGAGTGTAATCCTCTATACTATTTCCTAAATTAAAGCCTTTATAATCCTTAACTGGTAACACCTCGATATGTTTCTTTAAAATCGTTTGTAAAGATAACCGACATCTAAGTTTTATACTGTCTACATCCTCCATATTCCCTACCATTTGATAAAAACCAGATTTCAAATGCCTATCATATTCCTGTTTATACCAAGAAGAATTGTTAAGAGACCAGCCCAGGTTTTTGTCACTCTCCCTCAGAATATAAGCATTATCCTGACTTAAATCTCTTAATAATTTTAACCCTCCTTTGGTTACTAGTCATCCCCCTAACCGTATTATCATGTAAAGATCTACTTCTAACACTTCTAACATGATTTACAGAGTAAAAATCAACTAATTTTAAAACCTTGGTTATAAACCTCCTCTCCAAACAACCTATTCTAGGATGGAAAAAATTACGAAAAATTTCCTTCCTAGCATTTCTGCTACGCCCTCCCCCTTTCTTCCTAACCCTCACCCTAACACCGGCTAAATATTTAACATAACTCAATACAGCTAGTTCAGTCTGTTTTTTAACTGCACGCTGCTTCTTTATACCATCGGATGTAGGTTTTCCTTGCAAAACGAAACCACCCCCATAGTTCAATATCTGCCGCTCTTCTTTGGTTACATTGCATCCAGTGAAGTTGTGTAAATTCACTCTATCGCGTTGCCTTTCTCTTTCAAATGTAATGTCCTCACCATTTAGTCTATCCTTATGAATAAAGGATTTTAAATCACTTTGTGATAGGGCATCCCTCTCTTTTACAAAGGACAGAAAACAACGCATAATTAAGTGTCTTTCAGTTCACCCGCAATTACTAGGCCTCCTCTTGCATATCATTTCTCCTTTATTTTGGTATAATAATCTCGTCCTTTCTTGATTCTCCACTGTGTTATTTCAGAGGTAATTAACTTCGTCCTACTCTCTACTATATCATCAACTTTTCTCTTTATGGCCGCTAACTCAAAACCCATGCATTTCTCTTTTTCTTCCAGAACCAACCTTGATTTTTCATCCTTACATGTCACTACACCACAAACAGCTGTATACTCCACATCTGCTTCCTTTCTTAAATTATATAATTCAAACTTTAACCGTGCCAACGTACTGTACAGTCTATCAATCTTTTGCAAATCACTTCTTATAGCAGAAGTAATATGGCGAGATTTCAAAACCTCTACATACCAAGTCTCTATTTCTTTAGGCATTGTTCCTTTTAAGCACCTTCACAAAAAATCTTTCTCACAAGTTTCAAAATAGCGTTTACACGTAAGTATTTCTGCTCACGCCTCAAAATTTTCAAAGAAAACGAACAATTCTTTGTTCAACAGTATTCTGCTCGCAGCGCGCACTGGAAATAGTTAACTTCCCTTTAAAAATTTTTAAAAAAACTTGACGTAATCTATGCAATCACGTAGCCCAGACGGATTGCACAAGTTCACTAGTCGTCTCCATACACAGCGAACTTCGCAACTAAGGTAAGCATTCCTAACCCTTCAATCTCTGCATTTATCCTCATCATTCAGTATAACACTTTTTGACAAGGAAATAACACCTGTGCCTGTCGTTAAGGACTTGGGTGTTCTTCTCGACACACGCCTCAGTTATAACCAACATATCACTGAGATTGCCTCTAAATGCCTTTTTAAATTGTACCAAATTAACAGAATCAAGCACCTCCTGGATAGGAAAACACTTCTGTTAGTAATAAATTCATTTGTCTTTAGTAAACTCCAATATTGTTCAACTGTCTGGAGTAATACCAGCAGCAGCAATATTGACAAGTTACAAAAAGTCCAAAACTTTGCTGGGCGAATTATTCTGGGACTAAGAAAGTATGACCATATCTCGGATGGGTTGCGATCGTTGAAATGGCTTCCTATTAGAGAGAAACTCATTCTAAATGACGCTACTATGATGCACAAATGTATTAACAAGCTTGTTCCAGACTATCTTGCTGATATGTTTAAATCACGTTCTCAAGTCCATAATAGACAAACTCGATCATCTGGTGCTTTGGATATACCTTTATGTCGCCTGTCAACAGGGCAGCGCTCCTTTGCTTTCAGAGGAGCCAAACTCTGGAACTCCTTGAATGATAACATTAAGTCCTTAAAATGCCCCAGGAATTTTAGACGTCATCTTGCAAATGTTTTATTAAGTTGATATATTATATTATTGATATATATTTTGTAATTATAATATTATTGTATTTACATTCTCAATTAATTTATATATTTGTATTTTTTTTATTCTATTGAGCTGAAAAGCCCACTTAGGGAGCATCAATAAAGTGTATGTATGTATGTATGTATGTATCCTAAGTAAAAACACCTAGTATGTAGATACCTTACGAGGGAAAAAACAAACCAAAATTCACTCACCCTTACTACTATAGACCACCGCAATGGACACTCCAACATGCCAAAAAGGAAAACGACGTAGGGTAGAGGTATGTAGCAGTATTTTTAAAACAAAAGACATCCTTAAATGACAAAAAGGCACGTAGGGCTCAGCCAAATGGTACCATAATAGCGTCGAAACGTGTGGAAACAGGCTCTTTCTCCGAAACCCGCCCCATTCCCCATCGGTTTCTTTATATTCTGCTAACCCTTCCCCTCCCTGACCTGTTTCCTTGATTGCCTTCTGAGCTCCTGATGAGACAAGGCTTTCAACCTTATGTTTAGATAGGATGTTTTTCGTTTTTAAAGATGAGCTCATCATATCTTATTTTTCATATACACCTGGGTAGCATAAAATAACAATAGTAGACATATTATCATAGGTAGGTCACTCATTTTTACAGCTATCACCAGAGGAAGAAAAAGAAATCAGATCGTGCCTGGCGGCCATCGAAATGGAAGAGAAAAGAAAAGAAATAGAGGGAAAAGAGGAAAAATTGCGGATGAGGGAAGAGGAATTAAAACTAAAAGAAAGAGAAAGCGAATTAGAGAAAAAAGAAAAAGTTTTAAAGGAGAAAGAAGAGAAACTTAAAGAGAAAGCAAATGAGTTAAAGAAAACCACAATGGAAGCCAAACGGTTGGCTGCCCAGCTCCAATTTATGGCCGGGCAGCTTGACCGTTTGGCAAACCACGTACTTTCAGAAATGACAAAATGAAGAATTATTTTCGCCGGACATTAAAGAAGTTTTTTAGACCGTCAGGTGTAAGTTGATTTATTGCATAATTATTTTCTTTATTTCACTACAACCATAAAAAACAAAATTTTTTTTTTTTTCTGTGTAATAATTAATATATTTTATGTCTAAGAGAAATTTTGCACATCTTGTAAGACCAACATATATTTTTCAAAAAAATACAAAGCCCAAGTGCTGTATATTTTTTGCTGTAGTAAATAAGAAATCCGTGTGATCTCTTGTGAAGGAAAAGTTCTCCTCTTATTGCAAGGTATGTGCCCCATCGCTGTCGTGCTCCACTTCCTCTGTTACCCCTGTCTTTAATCAATCGCTCCTCTCTTTATCTATCACTCGAATCTTGGTCGATAAATCCCCTTTCCTATAACAGCAATCCTATATCTTGAAGCATTGGTTTTCCTCGACATCCCTCTTGCCCTCTTTTTTTGCACAGGCAACCTAATTAAAATCAGTAAATAATGTCATTACAGGTCCATAATACATAAATTATTTCCCCTTATTCTCGTAAGTTACAAATTAACAAATAATGCATCCCTCTAGTTCCGTCCCTTTTTGCTGAGGCAACTGAATTAGAATTAAAATCAAAAAATGTTATTAAAAGTTCTTATTACCCAGTTCCCTTAAATCCCCTTAATTTAAAAGTTAACAAATAATGCCACCCTGTCCACCACCCCCCAGAAAATAAACTCCTTGTAACCGAGCAGTCTGAGATCAGAAAATATAATAAACCCCCCAAAAAACCAAACCAAGCCGTGTAAGCAATCTAAAATTGGTTTCTATTCATGCAAAAACAATAACAAGGGTGCGTAATGTATACTGCAATGAACCACCGTACAGTCTTGCGGCAACAGAGGTTTTTGCTGAGCTGCACCTGTTATTGGCTACCTCGTGCCTACTGGACAGATACCACAAAACTACGCAAGCAGGATGACGGAGCACTGTAAACAAGCCCCCCGTAAAATGATGCACTGAACTGTACATTAAAATCACGAAAGCAGGATGTTGAAGTGTTATAAACAAGCCCCTCGCAACTTGGTGAACTGAACTGAACTGTACTTTGTCGCTTAGCTGTTGTTCTTGTTATTATTTATGTTATAAGGTTACACATGAGCTCCTGAGAGAACCCCAAAAAAAAAAAAAAAAAAAAAAAAAAAAAAAAAAAACAATAATAATAAAAATTAATAAATAATTTAAGTTAAATATTATCATTATCATTAGTAAGCGCATATCCATTCAAATCCCCTTCTCCTGCCTTTATGCATCTGCGACACAAATAAAGATATATTTATAGTTGTGACATTTTCTGAACTCGTGCAATAGTTGGTGAACTTAAGTGTAATTTATGAACTGAGTTGTCCTTACTGAACTATATTGTCTTTATTGAACTATAAAAACAAACAAAAGCGAGCACTTGCACTAGTAAAACCCCGATGAGTTTTTTTGATGGAGCAGTAATAAGTGGAGGACAATTTACGATTTCCATTAATGCGCTTACTACCTCGCCGACCATTCAAACCAGGAGTTCCGTCACCGAAACCACCGAAAAAAGGTGGAAGAGAATCCGAATTGAGGAGTCCGACTCGGATTAAAGTTTAGAAATAATATTTGAACATTATTTGCTTGCTGTAATGTTAAATTTCTGGCAGAAATTCAAGTTTATGTTATAATCCTTGCATGAGTTTTTAACTTTAATTCATGTAACAGAGTTTTGTCTCGGTCTGTCATTAAAGAGGAAAAACAAGAATTAAAATCCCAGTATATATATAATAAACACAATACCACATGGAAAGTGCTTTGTACAGTATTTACGCACTCGTTGTTTTTGTATCAGAAATCTCACTCGTTCGCTGCGCTCACTCGTTCGATTTCTGATACGTCAACAACTCGTGCGTAAATACCGTACGCCCGCACTTTCCATGAAGTATTCTCTATTTACGTCGAGGCTGACCCTGTATGAACGTGTCGTTAACGTTCGTGTTCAGCGGTAATTTTTAATTCGAAACTAGACTATTAAGTCAAGCTCCGTCGCTGGGGATGTTTAGTCAGAGATGTAACACAAAAGTAGAGAATGCTTGGGTATTCCAGTGAGAGTTTGACAATACAAAAACGAGCAGTCAAATGGGCCATTACGGAGATGATCGTGTCGCCATGGTAAGAATACAGTCAAAACTCCATTAAGCGGCCAGTAGTCAAAGTCCCGAAATAATTGTAGAAAAGAATGGGAACTTAAACCTCTCAGCGGCCGCGGTCACCTTTTGGACGTCTCAACGAGAGTTCTCCCATTGGTGTCACCTCCATTATTTAAGCGGCCATCAAGCGCTTGATACACTTAGTTCGGCTTTATTTCAAGAACACGATGAAGGAAAATACAGTCCGAAGATAGAAGGTGGCGACCAATTCTTGACCAGTAATGTTTCCTTCGTCACGCTTTTGTTTCAAAATAAAGTGATGTTGCTGCTAAAGATTATGCTGATTTATGACGAAGTTCTATTGAGCGGCCAGCCCCCATTAAGCGGCCACATGCCAGTAACTATATTGTTAGGGACCTTACGGCGACGATAACGGGAACCTCCAAAAACATCAGTTTTAACCCTTTAAACCCTAAGATCAAACTTTGAATTCTCATTTGTTGCTCCTATTCTTTCCTACAGAAGAAATGGGGAGAAGTTGATAAAATATCAAGCAAATTCATCTTGTGTGATCATGTCCGTACTTCTCATGACCACTCTCAGGGCTTTCAATAAGATTTGAAGTAGGCGTCCGCCCATATAATAGTAGGCGGCTGTGAATATTTAGGTGGCCGAAGGCCACCTTTTGTAGGGGGGTCTGGGGGCATGTTCCCCCAGAAAATTTTGAAATTTAGAAGCTCGGAAATGCGATTTCCAGCATTCCTGGCATGAGAAAGTAAAGTTAATGATGCATACCATTAACCCTTTAATTGGCAGTTTTCTGTGTGTTTTTCAAGAGCTTTTGTGAACATGTAAGGTAATTGAGTTTGGCAGGAATGCTTGCCACGTGACTTACCAAGGCCCAAGCTGCAACCCCAACCTTTAAATTTACACCAAACATCATGATATATAGCCAGTGTGGTTGTAAAGCTATGAGAAGATGCTGTCATTCAACTGAAAGTATAGCTAATTTCTTCATCAAAATCTTGACAAACTTCTTCCTCCTTAAATAATTTTGATGATTACACTGGCCGCTAGTTCTGTACTAATTTATACTTTGACAATTTCAGTACTGTTTCTGACAGTTCTAATTCTAGATTTGTTGACCGTTTTGAAAATTGCAAAGTCAAAATTTATTCAAAAATTATACCTGTTCCGGTTCGTGGTTTCTTTGTAAAAAATGAAAACAATTCACTTTGTCCGAGGCTACACTTGGCCGCCATCTTTGTTCAACGAACCAAGTGGTAATAGTTTGGGAGCGAGGCTAAATTTCATTATGATACCGCTGAAAATGGCTGAGCGTTCCTCAATCAGTTGCGATCCGTCGCGGTACAGAAATCGTGTTGATATATGCTTTATTCCAAAATCCTCAAGGCAAGAGTGCGCTATATTTTATCAGATTTATTTCAACTGAAAAATGGGTAGGCTGTAAACATTTTAAGAGTTATATTTTTGAAGTATTTGCTGACAAACATGACCAAGTAGCCGGTGACTCGATGACTCGCAGCCGCCGGAGCTCCGGCGGTAGCCGGCTTCTAATGAAAGCCCTGCACTCTGTTTTGCAAAGCATTAATATTACAAAGGAGAAATTTGATGCTGATCACTCTTAGGGCTTAAAGGGTTAATGAGCACACAACAACAACTTTGCACGTGCATCATGATTGTTGGTTAATTTCATTGCCGTCTCTTCACAACTACAGACGTGACAAGGCCAAATTTTACGTTGACTTGAGAACGCGAACTGGGCACAGCAATAAATTCTACCATCTCTGTCTTAATATCCGGCGCAGTCTCTTCTCTTCAGCTCCAGCTTAAATTTTCTTCTTGAAGTAACTTAGGGATAATCGCCAAAAAGTTTGAAAGGATGCGAAGTCTGTTTTTTAACGACTTCTTCGTGGACGTCGCCATTGTCGGATCGTTAGGTCCGTATTCCCTATGAAGCTTTTCCGTAATAGAGAGGTGTCCATTTTATAAAAGTGTATTTATGAGGAGAGTTTCCCCTTAAACACTTGAAGTCTCGATTACCATTATGAGGAAAATCCAGGATATCATTTAAACAACAAGAAACAGATTTATCCAGCGAATAATCCTCTATCCTGTAAACGACAAGACTTTATCTCTTGATTCTTTAGTCATCTCGCTTTCATTCATCACAAAAAGGGGCCAACATCATAAGATAGGTTCCGAGCCATTCCAGTTTATGACAGCATTCTTCCACCTGTACGATCAGTAAAAAAAATAATACACAAGGGTTTAATAGTTTACCACTATCTTAGGACGAGGACGCCAGATTATCGTGTGCCAATTATTGCATTCTGCATCATGTTACAAGCTGGTTTTAACAATCCATGGTCTGTAATCTTACCATGGAAATGACGTCACAATGTTCAAAACTCAAGTGGAACCAAGAGCCGCGGTTTCATTGCAAAGTTTTGAACATTTTGACGTCATTTCTTTTGTCGATGAGAGTACAGACCATAGAAAATTGTTGTCAATTGGTTTCTTACAATAACATTGCCAGTTTTTGGCGTTCATTTGCGTTGAAGTTTCTTGGAAAATCGCGCGCGAGAGAAAGAGAAAAACAAATTGCGCCATCATGACGTTATTTCCATGGTCTGCACTCTGTTCGAACAAATCTCTCAACCAATCCGCGCGCGAGAATCCGCTCAGTTAAAAATATCTTTTGACTTGGTGCGTAAAATATTTCTGGCTTTTATTCAGCCCGACACGTCAACAAATACATCAAACACGCCTGTTTGTGCGTTAGTAGAAGAAATCCTAAAACCACGAAAGTTTTTGTAACCAAAGAGATTCCAAATACCCCTTTAACGAGGAAGCAATAGGTTTTTGGATAGTAACACCTTAAAAATTTGCCGACAAACTAAGCACCACACGCTAAAACAGTATCATCACGACGTGAAAGTACTGCTTAAAAGGTTTCTTTTGAATGATCACGTCGTAGTATTTCGTCCACAGACTCAAGCGTAACAGCTGCATACTAAATTAAAAGAAACATCTGAAAGTATTGCTAAAGAGGTTTCATTTGAATGGTAACACCATAGCGAGGATTTCATCCACAGACTTAAAAGTTAGAACTACACTCAAGATATGGAAACATGTGAAAGTACAGTGTAGGGCTGACGAGGTTTAATTTGAATGACCAGACACATTGCCTGACGGTTGAAAATGAGCCTGGAAAAACACCTCTGTGTTAAAGAATGATCCCATTATGGGCCTTTTCAAACTCATGAATGACGGGGTACAAAAACGATTTGATGGAGAGCAAGAAACGTACCAGAACGACAAGAAAAACAGACCTTATATTATTTTATTTGGAAATTTACTTTCTCCTTCTTGTTCAAGTAGGTTTCTTGCCTCCAAGCACGGCGTTTTTGTGCCAAGCGGCCAAATTCAAAACCCTGAATCGAAAGGTCCACTTTTCTGACAATGAACTCTGTCACGTGGTCTCACCTTGTTCGTATGCAGTGTTCCAGTGGAGGCACAAGATCAGTGTCCTTGTATTCTGGGCATTCTTTTGTTGTATCTTTATCAAGAGAAAGATGAAATTACTTAAAGGCTCCGTCCACACGTATCCGAATATTTTTGAAACCATTTTTTCTCCGTTTTAAGTCTTCTGCCGTCCACAATTAAACGGCTTTTTTCAGGCACCTAAAATGTACGTTTTGTAATACGCTTTCATAGTGTTGATTTTTTTTTTTTCTTTTCTTTTTTTTCTTCTTGTTTTTATTTGCCAAACGCCTTTTTATCTTTCTTTCATGAAAAAGGAGGCTTCAGTTGAAATGAGATGATGTCATACATATTACAGGGACGCTATCGTAATTTCATCAACAAAAGACATCTCTGAGATTATATTAACCTGAAATGCGTTTTTCCATATTAATGGTATTTAACCCGTGGAATTAAAATTTCAATTTTCCCTTAGTTTTTGTTAAGTATTTCAATTTTTCCTGACTCAAAATAACTTCCCTGACTTTTTCATGACCTTGAAGTATCTTTTTTCTAGGCCATTAGCTAGCCTGTAACAGCTATGTACCCAAGCAAGACCATATAGCTTACACTATGGCAGTTTACAGGAAGTAATGCTTACTCACCAACTGTCAATCTTAACTCCTCATCCTGCCGTGCCAGACCATCATAGTAATAAAGATCAAACTTCTTCTCTAACCTCCTGTGTATGTCAATCAATTAATCGATCGATCAATCAATCAATCAATCAAACAAACAATCAATCGTTAGAGCCTACATCGACTCCTATATTGCAGTTAGATAGCACATTATCCACACATCCAATCCTGCAATGACTATCATAATCTTGAAAAAACAAGATAAACCAAGTCATTCCACGAATACATGCTCCGATTCCCTTAAGGTCTCCTTCTCCCAGTGTTGGTTTTAAGAGATTGCTTGGACTTTTTTGTATAAACATTGAAGCGGAAGGGTCGAAGAAATCCGCGAGTGCTTCAACAATTATGACTAGGACTTCCGGCCAGCAAGGACCTCTGGCTTCGGATCCGTAGTTCAGGTTTCAAGCCCTGCCATCGCGTTCATTCCTTAACGTTGTCTCTCCTCACTCATGTGTATTAACGGAACCTGGCGACATACTGCTAGCGGTAACCCTGCGATAGCCTACATGCAGAAGTTTCCTTTCCTAGCGGGAGAGATGGCGGGGGAGGAAAGCATTACACCCAGGTTTCTCATACTAAAGAGACTGGGAGAAGCCTCGGTCGTGTGGGCACCATGGCTTGCTAAGCTTAGTATAAGCGTCTAACAAGAGTACTCTTGGTCCAATTTCCCTTGGAGGTGCCCAAAGCTTGGATCACCTACCCCTTCCCTATGTAACAATTTTACCCTTCGTGAGAAATAAAAGTTAACGTCGACTTGGGGAGGGGTAGGTGGTCAGTTTCGAGAAACCTCGATACCAAAACGTTGCCTCTGAGTTTGCACGCTTTGATCTGATCATTATACGTTTCTGGGAGACTGCCCACCTACCCCTCCCCTAAGCCAACATTTTGCCCTAAGTGAGAAGTAAGTGTTAATGTTGGCTTAGGGGAGGGGTAAGTGGACAGTTTCCCACTCCTTCATACAGTTGGTGTCCGACCATCATCATTTGCCTGTAAACTGGTCGCTGATAGACGTAATTTTCTAACGCTTCGGTAAAGCACTATAAGTGACCAGGACGTAGCATCCCTTTTACACCATCAGTGTTTTTAACAAAACGGAAGGAATAAAACTCCTCATTACTACATAAATGGCTTTCAGTGACAACATCAAAGAATAGAAGTCTTTAGGAAGAATAAAAACAGGCTGATAAGTTCAAATGCCGTAAATTGGCTAGTATCAATGGCTGTTTTCACACTGGAGACGGATTATCCGTTTGAGACGGATAATCCATCTTGAAAATCCGTCAAAATTGAAGGAAATACAGATGGATGAAGTCAGGTGGATTGTCCATCCAAAACTAAGACGTATTATCTGTCTGACGCGAATTATCCAACGGATAATCCGCCTCTAGTGTAAATACGGCCATTTACTAGTCATTATAAGCTTACCAGTCGTCCAAGAGGTTTCTGTCGATAGAGAACAAGACACTGAAGTGACTCTCGCTGCATATCACCCAAATAGGATAATTGGGAGTCTTGTAATTCACACCAACCTGTAACAAATGAAATGATGAATTTTGTCAGTACATCGTAGATACTCATGTTGTTTGGCCATCTAAGCTGAAGAAGAAACAAAAAGCAAACAGCGGTGATAAACAAAAATGCGTTTATATTCCCTTATATGTTTATCACAGCAGTTTGTTTGAGAAACGCAAAAAATAACGCCTGTTCTGCAGGGTAGCAAAACTGCGTAGTTACTAAAACAATGAATGACCTACAATGATCTACAATGACCTACAATGACCTACAATGACCTACAATGATCTACAATGATCTACAATGACCTACAATGATCTACAATGAGCTACTATGAGCTGCTAGGAGCTAAAATAAGTAAAAAATGAGTTAAAATAAGCCCCACAATGAGCTACAAAATGACAGACAATTATGATGCTTGTCCTGTGTCACGCTTGGACGTGACACTAAGCTCATGGTATTAATTGCCAAGCACATTTTGAAAAGGCAAAACAAAAATAAAGCATGATCTCAGGTAACTTGAGAAACTTAACATAAATTATTGCAATCGCGTTTTTACCGGTAACACTATTATACCCCGTATCGATGGAAGTCATCCTGCGCCTGCGTGAATCCAGTGTATTGTCACAGTACTGTTTAATTTGTTTGAAAAAAAAGACAACACAAAACACAACTAACGGGAAAGGTTGCAAGGGATGGTTTGGACAAAAGTCACAGTACTGTGACAATACAGGATTCACGCAGGCGCAGGATGACTTCCATCAATACAGGGTATAATAGTGTTACCGGTAAAAACGCGATTGCAATAATTTATTTTCAAGTTTCTCAAGTTACCTGAGATCAGGCTTTATTTTTGTTTTGCCTTTTCAAAATGTGCTTGGCAATTTAATACCATGAGCCTAGTGTCACGTCCAAGCGTGACACACGACAAACGTAGCTTAACATCATTGTCTGTCATTTTGTAGCTCATTGTAGGGCTTATTTTAACTCATTTTAGCTCCTAGCAGCTCATAGTAGCTCATTGTAGATCATTGTAGGTCATTGTAGGTCATTGTAGATCATCATTGTAGGTCATTGTAGATCATTGTAGGTCATTGTAGGTCATTGTAGATCATTGTAGGTCATTCCTTGTTTTAGTAACTACGAGCAAAACTGCTCCTTTGAACTATACGCCGGTTAAACCTTAAGAGCAAATGCACAGAAAAATCGAGCAAAATCGGCAAATCGTGGCCACAGCTCAAAACCTAACTTACCCTCATTTTCAGTCTGTAATAAGGTTTTAATGAGCTTATAACACTGCTGAGGTTTAAATTTCAAAATGCGGCCGAGTTTGGGAATTATATGAGATTTTCGATTTCAACGGCCTGCGGGCCTAAAATCCGCCGCCGAACTCGGGAAAATAGCCCAGTGAGAGAATTGAGCTGACTTGCATAAACGAGCGAATATATTGGCAATCTTCCACTTAAATCTCAAAAAACAGATATCTAACAATTTCTAAACAGCATATTCTTTTAGATGTAGAGAATAAAATATCGCCAACGAGCACAATTTTGAAACGTAATTTGCATAATGCTTATCAATACAACAATTTACCGCTAAAACCAAAATCGAATTTTTTATATGGGGGAATTCTCCAAATCACCCCAAATGCCGGTTACTACCCAATGAGATATAGTACTTCAACATTATCTGAAAGTTAGTCTGGTGTTCTTGCGAACGCTTGTAAAATAGATTGATTATTTTGAGGTTATTTTGCCCCAAACAACCGCTAATTGACCCCAGGGTCAATTGACACGTGCACGTCACCTTAGTTTTATGAGTCGATTTGAGCTCGTTAAAAGGGAGAAACTAACAAGATTCTTTTTATATGTACCTGTTTTAATGAAATGCATGCAATCTTTAAAAGGAGAGGCCGTTCAATGGGTAATTTCTATTCTTGAGATCTTGTAGATTGCAGCATGGCGTCTGCAAGTGGACCTGAGTCTAGGTCTGTTCTCCCGTGACTGCGAAACCAGAATAACATCAAGAAATAATTCTCCCTCGAATCTTCGTAAGTGAATAAGCTTTGCAGTGCCTTACCTGAGATAAAAAGTGGGCCGAACAGGAAAACATTTCTTGCGCAATTTGTATCCTTCGTGGAAAAAAGCAAGGGAACGCAGTGTATTGCTGAGGTGAGTAAACAAACCTGGGAATGCATAAACAATGCATATCTGTCCAAGAGTATAAGAATGTTTCGAAAGATCCACCCCTAAATAACTGTGGGCTACTCCTTTTTCCCCATCACCGATGTGCACTTCCTTCCCACTGTCTTTTGCATGAGGCTTGTATGCCTTTTTAACTGTTATCGACACTTAAAACTGGGCGTTTAAGGCCTGGTTTAAGAACTTGACTGACTTAAAAAACCGTCGCGAACATGCGCTATTATAATTGTTGGACTTTGGAAGCTTTAAGCCCAAAATGATGGTGCAATCTCGAGAAATTTGCCCGGGTCTAATCATAAGACAGGGAACGGGTACTAAGAAAGGGACGGTCTCGTTAGCAACCCGTGGACAATCTGGACATGCTTGCCTTCTGTCGCAGGGGCAACCGTTAAGGCCAGGTACGCCGCCCCCACCCGCGACTGAGGATTGCATGGCATCCACCATTTGAGTCGCTTTTTCCACATCATGACCTTCAATTATCATGAATTATAATGCGGGCCTTGATCGTTGCCACCTTCCCAGAAGTCTAATCGTCGCACTGTTAGACCGTGAGAATCTCTATAATTATTTCATAAATGCACCATTGACATTTCCTTGTTCAGCTTCCGGTAAACCGATACTGCGAAGAAAAGATAGCTTTACAACGACTCTATCCAGGCCAGAACTCCTGATATCAACAAATATAACCCCCCTCCCCCATAAAAAAAGCAAACTTTCCCCGAACTATTCACTTGACCCACCCATGCCTTCGTTAAGAAAACTACGCACTCAGTTCACTGGACAAAACGCGCTCGTGAATATACCAAACTATAGCCGTTCATGCTATAAGCAATATCAGTTTCAGCAGGCGTGGCCACGTTTCCAGTTGCTGTAAGATTAATTCAACACCTGCAACAAACACTGTAAATTAAATAGCAGCCACAACGCCCTTCTTTGAAACCGCCAGGACGAGAAAGTTTATAAAAGTCTTAACAGGTGTGCGCGGCGGTTTCCTTTTCTTCCTTCCCTCCCATTGTAGCACTCAAATTCTGACCTGATATTAATTCTAGTAGTAATCAATCGTTCCTGAGTCGATAGGCACAAGGATACCGGTTTCTTGCAAAATATGCTGTGACATCCGTTTGCTCATCCCCCTTTCTGCCTTCGGCCGCTGATTAGGTTTGGTTCTGTGCTTTGAAATAACTTTAAGAACGAGACACGATACGTGAGGGGCGTGTCCGGCTAAGGGCAAGTGACTCTCGGTGGTGAAGACATATGTGAGCTTGTCAGTATTTCGTAGCCTGTACCACGTCGCAAAAATAGAACAAGCCAAAGAAAAATAAGACACCTTTCTTTCCCCAGCCCCCGAAGGTTTTTCGCATTACTTTTTACTGCACAACTGCTTTACTATGTTGCATTCTACCTTTTCGAGCCGCAGCGAACATGGACGCCCTTGGGGTTAAGTTTCCACTTCATTTTCGGCACCTGACTAAACGCAAGCGCTGACTTGTGCGCCTATGCTTCGTTTGCACTGAAGTAGCGGTATATGACCACGACAGACCTGCTGCTATCCTTGGTTTGAAACCGCAATGGGCAAGAACAATTTCTTGAAAAGAGCAAACTGTTTCCTCCTTAGCAGACAAGGAGAACAACTACCCGGAGGACTTAAGCAATGCCATTGCTTAGGTCCTACTAGACTTGAAAAGAGAAAGTCTGATGCTTTCTCTTTTTAATGATTTACGGCTAAACAAGACAATTTCGTGTAGCTTTTACGCAGAATTAAATACTTAGTTGTTTGCAGAATTGCATTTAACAACAAATGACAGAAATTTATTTAAGTTTAGATCTCAAAGATAAGACTTGAACGGAAAAAACTTTTGGGGTAAAAAAGTCGAAAAATAATGTTTGCCGGAAAATCACTTAACGGACATACAATAGCAGAGATATCATCACTGCAATTTTCTGTTCAATGCACCTTATGACAAGTCATGACTAATCCACTGATAGTCCGTGCCTTAAAACCGCCTTGAACCTTAAAAATTAATTCATTTGCCTTTCATGCGTTTTGCAAATATATCTTCTGAACACTCCGCGGTTGGGGGTAAAATCAGAAAACAGAACATTCAGTTACTGTACCATTTTTAAAGTGGGACGGTATGTTTGCTAACCGTCTTAGTTAACCACTTTTAAAATAGGACAAAAGTACAGCTGGTCATACAGGAAAATAAATTTACTGTATCCCGAAAGCATTCGTTTCCCGTGCACTTATTTTTCGCAGGAGACAATCGATAATTGCCTGGCCACGCAATCGGAGGTGAGTAACTAGTTAAAAGTCATTGATACCATCGCCACTTAACAAAACACTACGTGCTGCAAAGGATCCAAATTGCGCTAGAAATGTTTTCCTATTCGGCCCACTTTTTATCTCAGGTAAGGCACTGAAAAGCTGATTCATTTACGAAGGTTAGAGCGAGAATTATTTCAAGATGTTATTCTAATTTCGCAGTCACGGGAAAACAGACCTAGACTCAGGTCCGCTCGCAGACGCCATGCTGCAATCTCCAAGATCTCAAGAACAGAAATTACCCATTGAACGGCCTCTCCTTTTGAAGATTGCATGCATTTCATTAAAACAGGTACATATAAAAAGAATCTTGTTAGTTTCTCCCTTTTAACGAGCTCAAATCGACTCATAAAACTAAGGTGACGTGCACGTGTCAATTGACCCTGGGGTCAATTAGCGGTTGTTTGGGGCAAAATAACCTCAAAATAATCAATCTATTTTACAAGCGTTCGCAAGAACACCAGACTAACTTTCAGATAATGTTGAAGTACTATATCTCATTGGGTAGTAACCGAGATTTGGGGTGATTTGGAGAATTCCCCCATATAAAAAATTCGATTTTGGTTTTAGCGGTAAATTGTTGTATTGATAAGCATTATGCAAATTACGTTTCAAAATTGTGCTCGTTGGCGATATTTTATTCTCAACATCTAAAAAAATGTGCTGTTTAGAAATTGTTAGATATCTGTTTTTTGAGATTTAAGTGGAAGATTGCCAATATATTCGCTCGTTTATGAAAGTCAGCTCATTTCTGTCGCTAGGCTATATTGCCGTGTTCGGCTAATTTTAGGCCCGCAGACCGTGGAAATCGAAAATCTCAAATAATTCCCAAACTCGGCCGCATTTTGAAATTTAAACCTCAGCAGTGTTATAAAATCATTAAAACCTTATTACAGACTTAAAATGAGGGTAGGTTAGGTTCTGAGCTGTGGCCACGGTTTGCTCGATTTTTCTGTGCATTCGCTCTTAAGCCCCAATATCAACATAAAAATTCCTCACACTGATCTCCTTACATTTCCTTGAAAAACAAGTTGAGAGAATATGATTTAAGATCAAAGCATCTTCACTTAAGTGATGACTTTATTAATTCTCATAACCCGGTCTCTTGATAATGTACAAATATTGTTAGGAGATAATTGGTGTTGGTTACCCGTGGGACATAAAGGGTTAAACCTTAAGCCTGATTTCCATATAATAATCTGGATTGTTTCAGTCGCCCTTATTTTTTACTCGGGACGTTACAAACCAACGTATGTCAACCAGCCTATCTACAGAGCTTGGCTCTATCCAGACGAGTTAATGCCTGCAACAAGCAACAAGGACGGCGACGGCGACGGCGACGGCTACGAAAACGTCTAACAGTCTGTTCATTTCCAAGGTCCACTATTATGGACGGGAGCTCCACCCTAAGGTTTGCCTCAATGTATTAAAGAAGAAAAACGAGTTCTGTTCCACTTAAACTGGGAGGAACAGGAAGCAGCCTTGGAGGTGTGCAGAAAAATAAAAGGCAATTTAAGCAGCGACGTTTTTGAGCGACGCACGTCAACCGGAAGTGTACTTTTTGCGCTCTTGAGCCGTGATTTTGAACACATAAGAGAAAAGGCACATAGAAAAAAAAATTCACTTCCGGTTGACATGCGTCGCTCAAAAACGTAGCTGCTTAAACTCCCTAAAGACGGTGACAGTGGGTAAGCACCTCCCGGCCCCTTTCATCACACCCCCGCCCCCCTTCTTTCCTCTCTACACAAAGAAATAGGCAGCTTAAGCAACAACGACAACAACGACTACTAAAAAGTCACCTGAAAAGTGAATTCGCGTTGCCTCAAATTCTATCGCGCTTATAGCATCTCGTTTAACTCGTCAAATGTTGGCAAATTTTTTGTAGTTGAATTCTAAAGGACTGTATCAAAGTAAAGGAAAAGAAAGTCGCGTGTTCTCGTCCTCGACAAAACGTGAAATTAGGCACCTTCACGTTGTAGTCGTGCAACGACGGCGAAGAAATGCACAAAAAAGCGTATTGTTTTGCCAATCTAAGGGTCTGTTTACATGGCGGTGGGGGACTCCAGATAGGTGAGGTAACATACAGAGGGTCACCCCACATATCATGTAAACGTGATCAAATTAAAATGGGAGATTATATGGAGAGGTGGGTTACCCGACCTAAGCGGGTTACCTCCCCTACCTGGGGTCCCCCACCTCCATGTAAACAGGCTCTAAACCTATTGCTTTTTTCCCGTCCTCGTTGCCGTCGCCGTCGCCGTCGCCGTCACCGTTGCTTAAGCTCGCTAATATCTCTAGTCATCACCAACCTCGCATGATTTGTAATGTTCAAATAAGGACAAAAACCCGATGTCACTTTGTTTATCTATCCCTTTGAAGACATTCTAAAAAAAACACACACAAAAAGATCGGTCAATGTTAGCATTTATAGGGAAGCAGAAAACCTTACTATAAGACGTTCATGTCGAAAGATTAAACAGAATGTTTAAAAAAACTAAGAGGCATCAGCAGTCGCAAAGTAAAAGGGGAATTCCTTCAGATATTCTCGAGATAGTCTATCACATTGAATCGTTGTAATTCTTTTATACATATGGGTGAAAATCCTCTTTAATAGGTTCGTCATACAGTCAAAACCCGTAAATACGGACTCTGAGGGGGCCATAGAAAGTGTTCGTATTAACGGGGTGTTCGTATTACACGGGTTGAATTAAGAGAAAAAGTAAGGGCTTTCTTTCTCCGAGGACAAGGAAAATTTTCACATATCAGTAAAAATCGCCTTAGGTGCGTGATACAGGCGAACCGCGTGAATACGGACACTAAGGGAGCCATAGAAAGTGTCCGTATTAACCAGGTGTCCGTAAAGCAGGGGTCGACTGTACACCAATCATTAACAACAATGGGGGTGGGGTACAAACAGTCTCACTCAGTAAATCAACTTTATCGCCTGACGAGGACCTAAGTAAGTCGCGATCACAAGTGACAATCTTGGGACAAACGATAAACGGAACCCTTTAAACACATTAAACACGATGAAAAATATCCTTCATGACATCGTCTTAAATACTACACCTTTTTCGAACCCCCTGTATCAACTTCCATGATGTTATCGAATGTGTTTGAGACAGCCTTTCCAGTTATTAACAAGTTCACCAGTTCCTGTAAAGGACAATACATGTAATAAGAACGAGAATGAGACTTTTGCTGCAGTTAATGAAAAAGAAGCTCAAACTGGACGAAATTTCAGCTATTAAGAAAGAACGAAAGAAAGACGGAAACAGACAAACAAACAAAGTAACAAACACTTGTATGATACATCAAGGGACTAAGGGGACACCTTACCACCGCACCTGGGAAAACTGCGCTAAGAATGGTGTTAGCAGACATACAAAAAATTATAATATTGAACATTCTATTAAAAACATAGGCACGTTCAACGTGCATGAGCTATTTTGAATGCTTCAGTGTAACTATAATACTTCGGTGTAACCTTACCAAGAGTGATGAATCTACCTTTTTCATCCTAAATGTAGATTTGGTTTTTGTGCGAAATTGGGTATTGCGCTACATAAATGAAAACGCGAAACGCTCAGCTGAGTCGATCCTCAACCTATGTATTCACTTTCCTCTGTCTTTCCCAGTTACATCTGGTGCAAGTTAAACAAATTGCTAATGTAAAATAAATTTCTACTCACCAAACGTTGATTAGAAGGAAAACTCTAAGGTTTCCTCGGAGTTTCTTAAGCCAAAATGTGACTCATCGAATACTGAATAGTTACGAAATACCAGGATTTTTATCATTGAGGTAGATGGTTGCGTCATCATAATTCACGAGGTTTTCACGTGCGATTCTACTCAGTGAAACAGTCTTTAACTCCGACAACTTATTACTTCATGTTTTAAAAGCTATTGCTTCTTAAAAGGCAAGAGCCTTTTTTAAGGCATTGGTTATAAAACGAAACAGGTCTTCATACGTCCAAGTTACTATTTATTATTGTGAAAAGCCAATCTGCATGAGATGTACAGTCACACAGCTGGCACGTGAAAGTGTCGGACTTTGTCCCCTTTCGTGGTTCGTACGTGAGGGAATTCGAGTTATCACACAATAAACTAGTAAACAGAATTATAAAAATAACTCTTGCACACAATTTGCACATGAAGATGTTGGTCTTTGGCCCTTTTACAATTCGTACGTTAAAAAAAAGGCAAATTGTTTACTACAAAATTTTCTCAAGCGATTTTAAGAAATCACCTCGGCCTTATTACAACATCTGCAATTAAATTATGTTTCATGCAACGTCAAGGTTGATAGCCTAACATTTATTAACTTCCAAGAAAATTATCAAACTGCCGAAATATATTTCTGCTCATATCATGTTACTCCACTCAATAAAGCAGTACCTAATTATTGTGTCAACTAGCTTCTTCCAATTTTATTCCCAAACGCTACTGTTTCTACTTAAGTTTATACGCATCTTTACTAAATAAAATACGTTTCAATAACTATAATGCTTAGTATGCAGGAAGGATGTATCACGTTGTTCACTTATTATTCCTTTTTGTTGTTGTTTTGCCGGAACAAAAAAGGTCTGTTGAACTTTGTAAGCGAGAGAATAATATTTCTACAGCTTGTTTACAGGATTAACAATACTCGGTACAGCTTTTAAAAAAATAAGCTGCTTTTCAAACTTCTGAAACCACATTTTATAGGCCGCATACTTTCGAATTAAAGTCCATATCTAAATATCAATTATTGCTTCACTGGAAGAGCTTTGAAAATATATGATCGTTTATACTCTACCTTGAAGCAGGTGAAACACAACTCATAAATACGTGCGTGGTACCGTTCGCGATAGCCGAATTCGGTCAGAAATGTCTTGAAGTAGCATCCACACTAAAATATGAACCCTTAAACAGCTGCATCACTGTACACAGCGTTTGAATCATGAAGATATTTAATATAATGTTTCCAAACACCTGTAGCCGTAATAAAAGACGAATCAAGATGGCGGTCTTAAAGTGCCCTTGTTCGACCTTTAGCAATGTGATTTTTAAGTAGATGCCAAGATCTCATTGGTTCCTTAGCATCAACTCATAGTACCTTCAACCTTATTGGCTCTTGCAACAAACATCCGAACATACAAAGTTACAAAGATACAAAGTTACAAAGTTACAAAGATACAAAGCCACAAAGATACATACGCTCACACCACTGACATATGAGCTATTTTGAACTCAATAAATAGGCACGCGAAGGCATAACCTACAAAGACTATCCATTCCATTTAAGATTAACGTCGGGGAAATCATCATCATCATCATCCTCGTCATCGTCGTCAGATTGATCCATACCCGTAAATGAAAAAGATTGTAGTATACATGTACTGCATTGAAAACCTAACCTGCGTGCAGTAGTCGTGAGCATCCATCAGCCTGCCTTGAGGTTCATCCATATCAGATATCACTCTTAAACAAGAAAAGTTTAAGGCCACTAAATACTTGATAAAAATCACCAGAAGCTCCCTTACATTAAACTTGCAATATAATACTAGCAGATTATTTTTCTCGAAATTATAACACAAAGGCTTACTCTCGATTTCTACTGACATTGATACTTCTTTGCCCCTAGTCAACTATTTGCCGTTAAACTCATCGCCAATAGATGAACTTGAGAACTGGTGCCTTAATGGTTGGACGAGAGCCTGAGCGGCTCAGACATAGCAAGGAGGTATCCATGGCAACCCTGCAAGCGGGAACCACCCCTGCATGCAGCCGCCAACTGGCACCGTCACACTGAAGGAAATTCAGTGGAAAATATTCACCTGACCCCGTACTTACCAACGGACAAACCCAAAAAGGGGAGGGAGGGGGTGGGAGCCAGAATCCGCAAAGATTGGAATAAAACACCTGATCCACAAAGATCAGCTCAAAATGCCAGCATGAGATGCAACGTAAGTCACAAGATAAGCAATGTACCGTGCATATGCACTTACTGGAAGGCGGGGATTTAACAGCTGGGAGGTTCTTTGATTCTATTTCCTTTTGTGTCTTAAGAAAGTGGGCAGGGGTCATACTCATAACAGCCGGGGGAAATGCCCGGCCCTCCGGCACTAAATGACAATCCTTATCAGTAAGTAATAGACGAAGAACAACCATGTGGATACGCTACATCTAAATCATACATTGTTATTTATTCATTTAAGAGTGACCAACATCAACTTTCTCCTCACGATATCAATGCAAAATCAAGACTAAAGGTTATGAGAATTAAGGAAATGATCATTGAAAGAAAAATGCTTTGATTTTTTTTTAAGGAATTAAGGAGATGATCATTGAAAGGAAAATGCTTTGATTTTTTTAATCACATTCTCTCAACTAATTCTTTGAGGAAATATCTAGTATTAGTTTGAAGAATTTGTATGTGAATATTAGGGCTTAAAGGGTTAAATATCATTTACTAGAGCATCACTTACTTTCGTATTGACCTGGACAATATCACAGAATACAACAGTAAAATACATCCACTGCTACTATCAGACTCAAACTGAAAATGGAAAAAAGCGGATTTATTTCTAAAAGAAATTCAGTAATACGGAAACTACATATAATTCAGGATTAAGTTTGGCTATTATAGTACAAGCTGTTAATATACCTGTCATAAAATCTCTAGTAAAGCCATTTTTATCTTAGACCGGCAAGCACCAGACGTTGAAGACGAACTAAAGGGTCCCCCGGGGGGAACTCCCATATGAAAGGGGCGTGGATGCACGTCGTCACGCTTAGGGGTGCAATTTTTGGTCTCATTTACGTTGTTCTGGGCAAAACGCCATTATATTTAGCCGTAAAGGTCTCTTTTACGGTTGCACGCGAAGAAATATAAAAAATACATATTTTTTCAATTTGTTTGATTTTCTCGATTCATGTAATCAAAGTTTTTTAGGGGTCTAAAAAGGTTGGGCCACGCCCAGATTGGTCTCCTTTAGGGGTTTAATTAAAAAGTTCCGACCATCATCCTCGCCCCTTTCATATGGGAGTCCCCCCCCGGGATGGGCCCTCAGTAGGCTTTTCGGGATCCGAGATTCCGCTTATTTGACGGTCGGGATCCGGGATTTTAGAGGGAAACGAAATGGAGATTCAGCGTGAAATTATGAAAGTGATACGGGAATTGGACAACGAAAATTCGGCAAACCAGTTGCACTGAAAAACGATACATCACTTAATTTGGAGACGCGCTCTAAACACCTTTCATATCGACGTTTTGTCATTCGGTCGACTGTAAACAAAGGCTGTATTCAGTCCAAGAGCAAATCTGTCCATTGAAAGGCATGTTTAGGATTACGGTCGGAATAACTGGATTGAAAAAGCCTAATGAGGGCCTTACGTGATGTCACGTTGGCAATGTTAGTGTAAGTGAACCACAAGCAGCAAGCAAACTCCTCTAGAGAGAGGAGAAGTGTGACGTCACGTTACCATGGTGGCAGAATCATGATCTGGATCTTAACAATCTTTCTTGATAAGGACGGCCATTTGCATTGTCGAACGATGGAAGAAAAGTATGGGCTACTGTTTTGTTCGTAAGTGCAATCATGCACAGGAAAGGAATTCATGTTAACTTTTTCGTTTTTTTTTGTGCCATGGGCCACGGTTTGTTCAGGTGCAGACATTTTGCTACCCTGGCAACGTGACGTAACGACTTCTCCTCTTCATTGAGGCGGTTCTGATTTGCTCTATTGAGAATGAAGGGGCATATTACAGACCGCTAACTTTCGGCCCTTGTTTCCAAGCAATAAGCATTTATCGGACAAGGTTAAGCACTTGGAAAAATCGCGATATGTCATTGGTGGGCAGATCAAGTATCACTTTTGCTGTTAAGTAAACCGACTTCAGTAACCGTTTCACCAATGATTTACGCTTAATAAAATAATCCTTTAAAAAAAAACATTACAAAACAGATACAATGGTTAAAAGGTAAGCAACGGTACCTTGTGAAAAGGAGAAATAAAAACCACCTTATCCAGACTTTTTCAATAATTGCTTATTGTAAAAACATACAACAGGTAAGGATAGAGTAACCTAGTAAGAATGATACGTACCTGCGATATATTTTGCGAGATAAAACTAAGACGACTTTCAGAAGACTTGAAGGTGTATAACACCAGCTGTGGTTTACACAACAAAGTGAGTGAGCAGATGTGATTAACTCACAATTACAAAACTGCAAGTAGAGTACAACAGCAAAAAGAGCCTCATCTTGATGTAAGAAAACAAACAAGGCCCATTTTTATCAATCGTGCAGGGCTGCAAATAATAGTTGGTCATTGAACAAAGTCCAACTAAAATTGGCCCACGTTCGGCGAAATCTTAACTGCGTTTGGACATCAGTTGGACATATCCTTGTCAAATTTAATAACAAAGAGTCAATCGCTTTCATTGCAGGGCCCAAGTGTTCGAAGGCTGATTAGACGGCAAACTCAGGGTTAAATTTTTATCTGGGTTTCTTTTTCTTTTTTCATAAAGCATTTTCTCAGAAACATTTTTTCTATTCTTTTTTGAGTATGCAATCATCAGTGTGTAGACAAAAAGAATTTAACTGAATTTTCTATTTTTGTTAGCTTTCAAACCTGAATTCAGACTTCACTCTTTCCTTTTGCCATCTTAACCCAGGTTTCAACAGCTAAAATCTACCCTGAGCAAATGTGTAGGAACAAAATACCATTACTGCATTATGGCATCAATTACAGTAACAACAGTCTTCCTGCAAATCTCACATCCACCATGAACAATATTCGTTAAAGAGGTTTAATGCGAACACTATTGCAGAGACCGATCTCTTTCAGTAAAGCCAAACATGTATTACGAAGTCACCCTTGACGAAGAGGAAAGTGGCTTCTCAATACAAGTGCAACACTGTTTACAGTGCAGGCACCCTATTTTCCCGTACGATTGTCAAGATCGAGCCATTTTGACGTGAAATGTCCCATCTTGATTTAAAACGTTCTGTCAGGGGGCAGGCGTCGGGTGATCTTGTGGGAAATTGCAATACTTACCGCTTCTGTTAACTGGTCCGGCTTGTATCGCCCAGCACCAAAAACATTAGAACCACCAGTAGGTCTGAAATAAATTGTGAAAATTAACTAAATGGGATGTAACTTCGAGTGTTGCCGAAATTATTGTAGCTACCGAGTTGAGGTGTCTTTTCGAAATTTCGTGTTACTTGATTTGTTGATTGCTCCATCCGCAAAGATGTTGCGCGATTTTTGTTTCAAGCGACGTTATTCTTCTGGCGAGAGAAATGAATCAGAGGATGTGAAGTGACTTAATTTTGAGTTGTAAGAGCAAAACTAACAACCCCATGAAAAGAAAAACGAAAGGCCATGTCTTGCTTTTTGTTGTTGATTTGTTTTGTTTGATGTTTTATTTTGGTTTTGTTTTCTATTACCATGGACTCAATGGATGTGATTCGAGGAGCTTAAGCGATCACAACGGCGACGACAGCGAAAACAACTTTGATCGCATCGACGTTCAAAAAAAGGAGGAAAAATTCTACGTCTTGGGGTCATCAACTTCATAGTTCGCCACATTCAGCAAAAAACAAATTTTACGCAGACAACGGTAAATAAACGTACCAAAAGGCTTGGCTTTTGGTGTTTGTCGCGTTGCCGTCGCCGTTCTTCGTTCTTCCGTCACTGTTCTTCAGGGCGCCTGCTGTGTACCAGGATTGAGTACGCGCCGTGATTGGTCCGGGTTGAAGGGAAATGCAAACGTCCTTCCGATAACTGATTCAAAGGTCCGTTTGGGGCGTCGAACAAGAACCTCGGAGCTACTTCGCAGACGTTACTAACTGCGATAAGATCACGTCTGCGACGCAGGCTACCATTAGGGACTTTAAGATCCAACGACGTGACGCCAACAAGAACGTCGCTTAAAAAGTGAATTTGCGTTCTTTCAGTCTTTATCGCAATCATTACCCACTTACTCTGTCGAATGTAGGCGAACCCTCCTGGAGTTGAATTCCTAGGGACCATAACCATGTTCAGAAAAAGATAAAATTTCGTCTGCTTGTTCAAAGTTGTTGTTTGCTCATAAAACCTATTGTTTTTTCTACTTTTGCGTTGCCGTCCGCGTCGTTGGATCTTAAAGTCCCTATTATGGCTGACCCAGAAGACTACCGGCACTAGCAGTCTAGACATGTGACTCGGCTGAGGCCACCTTGAGCAGAGTGAAATGCCCGATGACAATCACTCGACAACGACACATCACTCAGGACAGCGCCTCGTGTTTCAAACTCGGCAAAACACTCCCGCTCGTTTTTTAAATAATGCATAAACAAAATTCCAGAGTAACTTACAAGGTTACTACTGCACCTCTGCAGTCACCAGCCCTCCATAATATTTCACTAATTGCTGATGTAAGACCTTTGGTTCTTTCTCGTTTGCTTATAATCAGCGCGACATTTTGGAGCTGTTACATTGAAATTCTCACCTGAAACCATTACGACCCAAAAGATGGCCAATTTGCAAAATATTGTCACGCGCCTCTGTATCATTGTTCTCAGCTAGTCTTATGGTGCTTATCATAAAGCGATATTTTGGAGCTCTTGAAAGATAGTGACTATAACTAGTAATAGCCAAAGGTCACGGAGTGCGGGCGATAACGATCGACGGTTTTGCTCCAACCCTGTGATTTGCGTACGTTTCACGTGACAGATGATCAAAACACGCGTGGTGAGATTACGAGTGATAGAAGGTCCAAACGCACGTGTTCAAATTGTGTTCTGTGCATTCCATTCATTCTTAGTGGAAGTCCAAACGAAAGCTAACTATATACATGCGATGCGTGCGTAATAACAACCTCGACATTAGGATTGCGGGCTCCTCTTGTCGCCCGCAACAACAAAAAACACTCTTGTAAGAACGCAGTAAAGCAGTACTGAGCACATATTTTCTTTGGTTAATAGTTCTAAGTGACAATGGCCTTTTTTTAATGGCCAGTTCCGTTTATCTAAAAGTAAATACTTTTCTAGCCAGACTACTACATGTAAAATTCAGTTTGACAGTGACGTGAAAGCCATGGAGATTAAATTAAATGGCAGAGGTCCGTTTCCGCAGGTCACGTGATTTTTACACTCTTTACCTCTTATTGGCCATAATTTGTTGTTGGTATATTACCACTTTGAGTATAAAGGTAACTTTTACAAATACGGCCTTTATTACACTTGGGCCCAAATGTTATTACAGATAGGACCTTTATTACACTTGGGCTCAAAATGTTATTACGGATGAGACTTTTATTACGCTTGGGTCCAAATGTTATTACAGATGGGACCTTTATTACACTTGGGTCCAATTATTACACTTGTGCCTTCTACACGTATCTCGCGTGAGGTAAGCTCAGCAAATGCCTGGTACGAGATCAGTGGAATGATAGCAAATCCCAGCAAAACACCAAGGGATGATACTAGGAAAAACTGACCATCAGTTTAATTTCTCAGTAAATGACTCAGTGGAACTTTTCGGCGTTACAATTGATAAAGATCTTACGTTTAAGCAACATGTG